TACTGTAGTCTTCGTCGCTTCCACCCTATTACACTAAGATTTTCTTCAACCATCAGAATGCCCCAGTTACCGCATCTCCTACTTATCCACCATGCTTTCGCAATGAAGCCACATCCACTCTTTATACTCCATCAGTTATATAATTTAATCTTATAGCCTCACTACTGAACTTAAAATGTGCCTAGAAAAATTGCAACACCAACCTCAAAATGCTGGTGTTGGTTCTGCAACAAGGCCTAGAATTTCCATCATCAGTTGTTAAACCTCAGCGTCTGCTCGTACTGGTGAATTTCAATTAAAGGGAAGTAATGGGATAAGATCAGGTAATAGTTCTGAAGACGTTTCTCGTTGACACAGAGATCCCTTACACAATAACCCAAAATCCAGACCAGATGGGCGTTTCCTTTTTAACTGATTGTCAGTCTGTTTCCCCTTTAGGTCTACAACCTGATAAATTTATGACGTCTGCTCTTCAAAAGTCGCCTCCTTGGCTGGAAACCAGCAGAGAACATCCAGGATACCCCACGAAGTTATATTACAGCACCCATGATGGCTACATCGAGTGAGTGAATAAGTGAGTGAGTTAGTGAGTGAGTGAGCGAGTGAGTGAGTGAGTGAGTGAGTGCGTGCGTGAGTGAGTGAGTGAGTGCGTGAGTGAGTGAGTGAGTGAGTGAGTGAGTGAGTGAGTGAGTGAGTGAGTGAGTGAGTGAGTGAGTGAGTGAGTAAGTGAGTGAGTGAGTGCGTGCGTGCGTGCGTGAGTGAGTGAGTGAGTGAGTGACTGAGTGAGTGAGTGAGTGAGTGAGTGACAGTGAGTGTGAAGTGAGTGAGTGAGGTGAGTGAGTGAGTGAGTAAGTGAGTGAGAGTGAGTGAGTGAGTGATTACGTGAGTGAGTGAGTGAGTGAGTGAGTGAGTGAGTGAGTGAGTGAGTGAGTGAGTGAGTGAGTGAGTGAGTGAGTGAGTGAGTGAGTGAGTGAGTGAGTGAGTGAGTGAGTGAGTGAGTGAGTGAGTGAGTGAGTGAGTGAGTGAGATTCAACCCCACTAGGACATTCACCAAACGATAAACACCGTGCGGATTGGGGTCACCCTGGAAAAGGTCTCAGAAACCTGGTTCACCTGTTAGGTTATATTAGGGTCCTCGGCAACAGCCAGGGTGCTGCTTTAAAACAATCAAAAATTTACGTTCGACATTAGGACACTGTATTAGTAATACTAATAAACGATCAAGTGATGCATCCTGCAATATTGTACAGGTGAGACGAAATACTATTGTTAGTGTCCAAAAGGAGGACTAATGATGATGCTGTTTTTAAAGACATTATCAGATACAGTATTTACATCTTTACCTGATTTGGAAAATATAGGTAAACTAGGCAGACGCCAAAGAACCCAGGAATTGGGCACCTTGAAACCCCCCTCCCCCACCACCACCAGCCACCCTTTGCCTAAACTAACGAACAAATGTAAGGGGATGGGGATCTGAAAGTCCCCTGGGCACTTTCTGAGTAGGCTAAGTCTTCTCCCCTTCCCAGCCACACACACACACACACACACACACACACACACACACACACATATATATATATATATATATATATATATATATATATATATATATATATATATATTCTCCCTTTCAAATATTTGTTCAATCATTTTACATTATTTTCAAAATTTTATTGTATTTGCAGTTTAGCATATTTTTATTATTATTATTATGCACTAGACTTATAAGCAAAACCATCCCCATCTGTACAATTTGGTTCAGGTTCCAGCGTCCCTAAAATTGTCATTGTATTAGCATCCCTGGATATTGGTAATGCACTGTGTTTGTATGAACATATGTGATGTGACGTATAATTTGTTTCGTGTTTCCGCGTTGTCAAACTTTACAAACCAAGGTTAGATAACTGGGCATAATAGAGCAACGGATACTTCCGGTTGCACGAAGTCGTGAGAAAGTTCACATTTGAGCAATAACAGTAACACTTCATTATTTGTATATATTACTGCAAATAATTTAAGCTCTTACTAAATAGCCCAGTAATGACATTGACATTGACACATTGAAGTGGCATTTTATATAAATACTTAAAGTTAAAGTTTAAAGCTTATTCTCAAGATTCGTGAGTGTGATTTTAAATTGTGTTTTTTTTTGAAATCGGTGACTTAGTAGTAATAATAAAATAATAATAGTAATAGCAATAGTAGTTGATACTTAATAACTTCATCAAGATAAATTTACGTTTGAATATTTCACTTCTGTGATATTAAATAAAAGTAATAAATTATAAACTAAACGGACTTACTAACAGTAACAGGAATATAAGTTCTTATCTATTTTTTAAAATAATTGTTAAAATGAATATATATTAAAAACATGATTAAAAATAAATAATTTTAATAAGATAGATTGATAGAACAAATATTTAATAAACTTCAAAGAAGATAAAGAACTTGCTTAAACTCAAACTTCTACCTGGCTGAAACCCTATATGATTTTCAAATAAGGTTTGTCTTGTTTTGCATTTCTTGTGTTGGCAATAGATGCACTGCTGTCATAATAGGGGTAGGGTTAGGGGTGGCCGTAGTTTTAAGGAGTACCAATAACCTAACCCTAACCCTACTATGACAGCAGTGCATCTATCGCCAACAAACAGTAATAACGTCATCGGTTCACGCTGTCTATCGCCAACACACAGTAATTACGTCATTTGTTTCGTTCCTTTTTTCCACTCCGTAATTGCAATGCGGCCAGGGGACTGAACTCCGGCGTACTCCAAAAAAAGTAGCCGTAGTTTTAAGGAGAGCCTATATTTATTTTCTCGCTATGCCACTGATCCTTATTTGTTGACCTGCTTTTGAACTTTTCTGAAGAATAAATAATTTTCATCTCATCTCTCTGACTCTGTTTATTGAACAAAATTCCCATTCTCTGAAGGTACAGCTTTACTTATGTTTTTGATCAGTCTTTCCATGTAAAGGTAAAGTCTGGAGATGTGAACCAGCAGCACTGTACACGGTTATAAACCATAAGTGATCTGCTAATAAGAAACTGTCCTTATGTGTCACTGTCTGCATGCAACTCTGTAGCTACAGCAATGTTCTTCTATTTACCCCAGAGTGTTAACTCTGATACCCATTCCTTAGTGGCTGGGTGAACCTTGGGAACCGCCCGGTTTTGAACACCGGCTGTGGGCTACAGCAAGTCGCAGCTGGATTTGAAAGCGAGTCTCCTATTGACTGTGCTAATGTCCCCCCCCCCCCCCCCCCCCCATTCTTTCCATGTTCCCAACAGGAGTTAAAAATAAAATTCAAAGTCGTTTTTTGCTTCTGACACCTTTTTATTAAGATCTTAAGGTAGTGCTTGTGACCAGTTTGCTATGTAATCTTTTTCTTGCTCCTCTGGGTATACTTTCTTTGGCTGCTCCTAATACTACTTCTGCAGACCGTTTTGTTCAGATTTTTTGTAAAATGAATGCTGCTAACTAATTGGTAAGAGTTGAAAAGGTTTTCCTGTCTGCTTGAATTTGTTTTGAGGTTCTAGCACCCCTAAGGTTGTCTTTGTATCCGTCTCCCTGAATGTGGGTAATGCATTATATGTATATGAACATATTTAATGTGACTTTAATTTTTTGTAATCCGTCACCATATTTATATACCTTGTCAAATGATGTCGGTTTTTCAGGGCTCTCCACTAGCTAGACTGGTTATATTCCCTAGCAAACCTGGTGAGGTCATGGGTTCAAATATGTGTTGAGGTACTAAGTAATGTCCATGGAAGTCGAGGCAGCTGGTATTGTGTAAACCACATCAGCCGAGTGCTGACTGGTCTATAAAAGCATAGCCCTATACACCCAATCCACCAAAAGGCATGAAAAATGGCCCTTTATTCCTCCAAAGTGTACCATGCAGCATGAATTCTCTTCGTCTGCTTTTGCCTTTTTTACCACTATTTTCATTTGTCATGTTTCCTATGTTTCTCATCTCATTATTTGACCAAAAACCTGGGTGTTTTTTTTTTAAAAACTCCTATGGGAGTGTCATATGGCGTTGATTCCTAATTCAACAAACCTTTTTTTTTTAATAGGTACACTTTATTATATATATATATTACACTATCATTTGGAAAGGTGCCAACCAGTGATCTACCTTCCATACATTTAGGTATTCGCAAAATTCATTTCAGAAACCAAATCTCTTCCACCTCCTAAAAGACTGCTGGATCCTGTCCCCATATTCTCAATGCAGGTTCCCCACTTTGTAGGGAAAAGAGATTCGACCCACTGCTCCTTAATAAGCATATCCTAAAAGATGACTAGTTAAGAATTTGCTGCAATTGGCTTATTGTACCAAAAGGCAGATATCACTGCCTAGTTGTAAACCAATATATATTTAACTACATATAATATGAGTTGGTTGAGAGCTATGCTGCATTGGGGGTTAGAAAGGCAGTAGAAAGAAATATACAGAATGAGTAATGTTTTCTGTTTACACTTGGCCCACATCATACATGGTATGGATAGTTGTATAGCTGCATTCTAAGCCTTTGAGGTTCATTTGCATACAGATATCACCCGCTTCCATTCATCTCGGTGATTAGCTTTCTCTTTCCATCTGATGACTCCAAAAATTTTCAAGTCTACCTGTATATTATGGGGGAACTTGTGTTTCTCAGTGACCCTGAGAGCTATGTTGGCTGTAGCATAGCCACCAGCAGTACCTCCCAAGCCAGACAGGTCAAATGTTAGAGGACAGACAGAAAGATACATTCTGGTCTTCCAGTTGAGGAAGAGGGGGTTAAAGCAAGATGCCAACAATATCCCGAGCTTTGTAGAACATTATTTATTCAAGAAACACGTATCTAAGCCTTGATTTTTGATGGATTTATATGAAAAATGTCACCGGAACATAACTATGATGATCAATAAATTATTACAGCAATCTAGAGATAAACAAAAGTATGTTACTGTATGTTTACAGGACAAATAGCACAGCTGAAAATGAACTCGGATCAAGAAGATCCTCCAATTCAACGTACTGATGTCAGATTAGCATGGACCAGGGGTAGCCGATTACAGGACAGAATCCTTGAACGTATGGCAGCTAATCAGTTGAGATTTCAGATGGCACCAGACCCTGATGTACCGAATGAGTCCAGTCACAGAACTGCTAGTGGTAGTAAGTGAACATTGAGTTTGACTTTTATCCTGGCCACAGAAATGTTTCTCTGTTGTGAATTTGAATTAAGAAGGCACAGACATTAGATTTGAGCAGTTTATTAACTGGCATATGTCATGGCGGGAGCCTTCATGGTTTAGTGGCTAGATGCTCACCTTAGGATCCGGAGGAAGTGGGTTCAGGTCATGATGGAGCCATACATTTCTTTTTAAATGACCTTTTCTCTCAGGTTGACCTAGCTTTAAAAGTATACCAGGTAAATTCCTGGTAAGTAAAGTCGGCTGGTGGTGAGTTGACCACATCACAACTGAGTGCCGATAAGTCTATAAAATATAAGTCTAGCCCTAGTGTATGAGGCGGGAGAGCTGGCGAGGGACCGAGTTTCTTTCAGGCAGACCATTCTGCAAAGAACCTTCTACATGATGATGATGATGAGCCCTGTATGCCCTGTTCCCCCAAAGGCTTTCACTGAATCTCATTAGGTGATACCAGGCAATAAATTGTGCTCGTCTTTTTAAAAAAAATTATTTGCGTGTAGGCTGAGATGTTTAGGTTATTAAGAACACTAGTGTGACAACACATACAAAATAAACAGGTGGTAAACACTGCTGTTATGTCAGGTGTGGGTGGTAAAGAAAAATATTGTGCCAGCTGAGGGAGCTGAAAAATCATTGACTATAGAAAGATTGTCAGAGTGAGGGAAATACTACAAAATGTGACATATATGAGAGGAAGTCAATAAGTAAGTCACGAATAGTTGTTTAAAAAAAAAAAAAAACTAAAGACAATAACAACATAAAAACCATTTTTTTGTGTTGACAAATTCACTGCCCCTTTATTTTTCAACATAATTTCTATTAACATTGATGCACTTGTCCTGTGGTTCGGTCAGTCCTCCCAAACCTGCTGCATAGAACTGCATGCTCTTTTTTGTAAAGCACGAGGTGGTTTGTCGGTGGACCCAAATAATCGACATTACTAGGGGCTAAGCATTTGTCAGCATAAACAGGGAGCATTTTCTTATGAATATTTTTTGCAGGCAGCCTTTTTAGGCCCAAAAAAAGCGCCCAACAGCATGTTATTCTTTGAGGGTACACACCGTAAGTATAGTCGCCATATTGTTTCTTTGTTGCAAATTTGTATGCAAATCTAGCACCGCCTAACGATTTGAGACAAAAATGTGATTTTGCTATCACCTAATGACCCCTTTAATTTAGAAGCCACCGGCTGCAATTTCCTGCCATCTCATCCAAACCATTTGTGACTTACTTATTGACTTGGCCTCGTAAGTTGAGTTTTCCAAACCTCAAAATGTTTCCTAAACTCGAAGTCAACTTTTATGATGCTTTAGATGGGTATAGACCTAGTTCAGAATTTTGAGCTAACAGTCTTGAGGTCCACATGTAAACCAGGTCAGCTTGTATGCTGCAGTTGATGGTCAGCATCAAAATAATAAAGTATTATTATCAGAGGAACTAAATAAAGTTTATTATAAGATTGCCATAAAGTGAGGGAATTAAGCACCATTGATCATCAGAAACTATGCTAGATCATCAGATAATGAAGGAATTGAATATCATGAACTTTACAAAATGACAGAGTGTCATGGATTATAGTAGCAGCATACAATGGAAGAGCAGAAATCGTGTTTAAATTGGCAGGATCAGAAGTGAACAAACAGAATCATGGAACTGAAGAAGAAGAACCGTATTTTGCAAGTTGAATGATTTCTGCAATTTTAGCTTTCTGAACAGTCCACTGTTTTAAAATATACCATTATATGTTCATAGCTGATATTTAATTTTTAAAATATAAAGTTTATAAAAATGGCCTTTGTTCCCAGGTCAATCAAGCCTTAAAAAGGGTACCAGGTAAAGTCCTGAGAAGTAATAGCAGATGTATGATGTTTTATGCATCACCCACTGAGTGGCGCTTGGTCTATAAAATATAGATCTAGCACCATATGATCTCTTGGATGCGAGAGTTGGAAAGCAACAGTGGCTCTAGATTTTAAAAAAATAATAATTGGACAGTTCTGAGAACAGATGTCTTAGAAGAATACTAAATATCAACTGGGCAGATTTCTGATCCAATATGCAAATAAGACAAGAGACCAAGCAAGACAGTGTATCCAGTTTTATAAGAAAGCACAGCTGGAACAACATCAGCCATGCTCTCAAAATGGATAAGACCAAACCCTCATATGAACACCAGAAGGGATGAGAAAATGGGGAAGACCAAGAGAGACCGTGCTTAGAACCATCATCAGTGAAGGCTGAACCTCTGGCCTTATAAACATCCAGGACCTAGAACAGGTGGCAACGAACTGCCAGACATGGAGAGCTGTGACCTATGCCTTATGGGGTCAAGAGGAAAGATTAACTAACCATTTGTTCATTTTACCTGAAGGCATGGAAAAGGGTTCTTTGATTTGTTTATTATAAGTTTATGTGTGTGTATGTATATTCTATTGAATATTGATTTGGATAAATGATAAGTTTATGATTATTATCAGACTGAATATGAATTATCTTTATTATTTTTAAGGAAGGCGGGAATTTCGCAAGCGCAGAAAAACATTAACAGAATTGCATCTGACCAACATCTCTCGACCTCTCACTTCCTATGCAGTCAAGTATGTAAGAAATAGAGAATACGGAATTTCACAGCTTGAAAAATCATTGGAGGCACACAGAGAGTTCTGTAATGTCAAACTGCCAGATTTTGTCTCTCAACATCTTCCAGCTGTTCTGCAGGAGAAGGAATTTGACTTTGGAACAAGGAATAAAATTTTCGCCTCCAAATGGTTGAATGATTCCCAAGTGGTTTTAGGTACAAAGTGTAATAAGGTATGTAAGAAAGTAAAGTAGTGGATTTGAAACTTTTGTTGTTGTTGATGTTGACATTATTGGTGTATAAGACAAGACATGTATTATCAGATTCAGATTTTTATAGACCAGTTGGTCCTCAGTGATTACTAAGGATTATAATTACAGCACTCCGGACAGATACATAGGTGATCAAATCTCCTCCTCAAAAGCTCCACAAGTGTAAAACGACTTATGACGCCTGTTCTGTATTGGTTAAGGAAACGTCTTGCACCCTTAGTGAAATGTCAGTAAGGCAACAAACATGTAAAGTGGCATCCTCAGCGCGGCCCATCCAGGATTTGCCTCGTTTAAGTGGTCCTCAGTGAATGACAGAACATATTCTGGTACCCATTTTGACTGGGTCAGCCTAGAAGTCCTAGGCAAAATATACATATCTTCCCCCATTGTGATTAACGAGGTATGTCTACAAACATATAATATTCTTCTGGGTTCACAGGTTTAAAAGTCCAAAATAGGGCCCTGAAATCCCACACGTTGAAAACATATCTCTTACTATTATTTCTCTTTCATGATAAATAATACTTTTGATGTACAAAGAGTCTGCAATATTGTATGCATGTGAGGCCAAGACAAAAAGCAGACACACTGAGAAATGGCTTAGGACTACAGAAAAGTGGTAGAAATGCAAAGAATACTGTCTTTATCATCATCATGTGCCTTGCCAGCAGCATGGGTACTCATGTCTTTCTACAGATCTCGGTCCCTTGTATTGAATCAATTTCACTTATTATAGTCCACTGTGCTGTCGTTTCAGGCCATCAAACATTGTCTCTCTTGGTCTGCCTCCGCCTCTTCTACTATTGATCTTTCCAGTCATCACAATGTTCTCCCATGACTCTCTTATAACATGACTGAAAAACTTCTGATTGACATAATCTTGCCCATTCTATTTAGTAAATTGAGGTCTGTTTTTCTCAGTCAGTTGAAAACTGTTCTTTAGCAGAAACAATGATGGTCAAATTCAGATATAGCAAAGAAAATATTGTATTTAAAACAGTGAAGTGGTCACTAAATTTACATACAATTTGGGCATGTGAACCCAGAAGAGCAGGTAATCTGCTCCCCTTTTCCTCTTACAGTGGGGCCCTGGAACCCACATGAAGAATTACCCCTGTCGAAACAAGACAAATTGAGGACTGCGAGAAGCATGAGAGACAACAGAGAAGATGTCAGACAGATTGGCATTATGGCATGGGGAGACATTTGTATCAGAAAATTTAGAAATAATTGTGTCTAAAGCAGGGCTATTCAACTGGCGGCCAGTGGATCTCTGCCAGCTATATTGTATTTACGATCTTTCTATTCTGGGGCTCAGGCCCCTGGCTTGTGATAATCGCCATTTTTGATCATTTTGATTCCTGTGTCAACTTAGTTGAATAGCCCTGGTCCAAACCATTGACTGCTGAAAAAAAAATATTTAAATTGTAAATAATGTTGTCTCAAACGGTATATTGCATGCTTTTAAACTACTTTTGCCCTCATATAGAAAAACTGGTTATATAGCTTTCAACATTACCATCCTTTTTTTATTTAAATATGTTTTGTTTTACCAGGTTTTATGTAAATAAGTCTGGTCTGGTAGTCTGGTAGTCTTAGTTTCAGCTTCATAGCAAACGGGTCACCCCATCTTTGCTCCGCTCCTGCGCCAACGAAAAACACACAGAATGTTTATCACAATATTAGAAATGCAGTTCATCATTGATGGTAGCAGAAGTCGCCAACAGATCAGCAGTTGCCCACGCGATCAATTTTAATCACATACGGGCACCACCAACACTGCACGACAAGCATCGCACCATTTTCTGAATCTACAATTCACACCAACACGTTGGTCACAGTCGAAAAAACATTCCAAATGTAATTCGCAGCTCACAGGGTCACGCCATGCATTCAACTCAGAAGCTGGGCGATGAAACTATATCAAGTCTACAAATGGAGCAAAAATGCATCGGCCACCGTCCGGAAGAAGCAAAAAATTTGTCTCTGTTTCGAACAGTGCCGCTGCCTAACGTCCATTTTGACCGGAAGTTTACACAGTGTACACCCTTCTGACGTACGTTCTCCTTTTTACTACAGCTCAAACCATCCTTGAGTGGCCAGTCTTCGATACCATGACACAGACGATGCTGCTGGTGTCTAAGCCACCCTTTCTCGTATATTTCCGGTCATCCAGCCGCCTTCCTATGTTTTTTTATCTCTGATGTAAATAAGTATGAAGAGCATGATCGAATATAGCATTGTAGACTAAGAAGAATTAATAATTAGTTAATGATCTGTGGTTTGAGGGTTAGGGATATTGTTTCACAACACAGTCTTTGATGTATATTAATTAGGGTTCGATTCCTTCTGTAGGCAGTTTAGAAAAGACCGATCTGATGGCTTCAAATAGTAGTACAAGAGTCACACTGTAAGAGAAACTGGGACCTCTCTGCGTGAAATTCCCATAGTTAGTGTCACATATCACTCCTGTCGCGTGCCTAATGTAAGGATTCCTCCTTCAGAACCAACAGCGCTCAGAAATAATTATGTTGAGTTGTTTGGCTCGTATTGGTCTAAAGGATTCCCCGTGGCCAATATACGCTCAACTTATCTCTGGAGTAGGGCAACTCAAGTATTGGCACTACAAAATATGTCAGTATATGAATACAATATTTCTAGGCACACTTGGCTGGACACCCCTACTACTTACTAAAGAAAGCCCCCAGGTTATGATAGTTCATTATCATAACCATGTTAACACATATAATGAAGATACATGCACACACATCTGCTAAACACTTAAAAAGGTGACATAGAGAAACCTAAGTCAGCCATGAAAATGAATGCATGTAATCAGTATAATGTATATACATATAATAGTGAAGTGAATTCCAGCTATCAGTGGAAGAATCTCAGAAAATAATGTCTAGATACCAAAGATACTACACAGACAGCAGGTCCTGGAGATGACATCTTGTCATCATTGGGAAACATAGGAGCTGTGAGGGCATAGGCTATTTAGTCTGTACAGGGGAAGGTCTACGTTCGAATCCACTTCTCTAGCGATCAAGAACGGTCGAACTATGTGTGATCCCACAGCCGATACTGATCTCTCTACAGCAGTGACTACTTTAACAGACATCATTTTAGGTACTCGTAAACTATAATTAACTTACCCAAGCATATGAAAAGTCCGAGACATTCCAGATCGCCTTATGAAAGTGAAATTATACAGGCATCAATTGACACGTCTGGATGCTAGGAAGCTGGCCACAAGAATGGCGCAAATACGCACTTCAGGCGTTGGTAAAAAAAAGGAGTTCCTAGTATACATGGGCAAGGAGTAAATCGGTTTCTAAGAAACCTCAAATAACTCCTCTAATATTTATCCAATGGATAATACATTTAAAAATGGAGTTAAGTCAAAGCAACCAGAAAATGTAGACATAATAATGTTGTCTAATAAAGGCATATATATTTAGATATAAGGGACTGTATCTTTCCGGACGAGTCCAAGTTTGAATTTTGTGCCGATTACAGGTAGGTCAAGTTACCAGCCTTACGGACTGATGCGTAATGGCTTATCATTCCACGACAGTTAGCAGTGGAGCCAGTCTCCATTGTTAAAGAAATCACAATATTGTTTTAAAATGTGACATGTGGAATTCAGGCCACAATTTTTTTTATTCTAATTGCTTCATTTCTTTAAATTAGTTTCACAGATCCTAATTTATAATCATATTGAGGTTCGCCATTATTTTACAGAACAAATTAAACATCTTTCTATAGCTGATGGTTATGGATGTTCGAAACAACAACCTGGTAGAGATCCAGTCCTTGAAGAGCAGTAATGACAGTCAGCCAGCAGAATGTCCCTGCGGGATACACAGCCTTGCTATTAATCCTTCCAGAACCATGCTTGCTACAGGTGGAAAAAATACAAATGATTTAGCAGTCTATGAACTACCAACCTTTGACCCTTTGTGTGTTGGAGAAGTGAGTGTCGTAATCATTTTTTAAAGCATAATTTATAAAATCATTTAATGACGATTAATACAATTAATGAGAAATTATTTGGAAACCACAGAAATGTGGGTTTTATAGAATAATGAGAGCATCATAGACAAAATATGAAATAAGGATATGGTGAAAGAAATTTAACTCAAATAGGAAACTGGTTACCCATTTTAGAAACGGACAGTCTACATTTTATGGGGCATGTCTTTCAAATGGAAAAACTTGATACATCATGACAAATGGAAATTAGGTGAGAGAGAAGCAGCGGGAGACTGAGTGAGGAGATGTTAGACAATTTTGCGTCTTGACTTGCAGAAACATGTATCAGAGGTGACTGGCAGCACATCAGACCGAAGGCAGTAGACAAACCTAAAGACTAACTCCACACATGAACTATTGAAGAAGAATATAGGTAGCAGATTATTTTTCATACAATAGTCATCCTTTGAAATATCATTGGTTAAAACTTAGAATTAAGAAAATATGCAGAAATCAGCAGCTTTTCTTGTAACTAATGAATGTAACAATTAGGTGCTTTTTATTCTAGTATGTCCCTGTGCTGGTTCTGGGGCCCCGTTAATGGGAAAACAAGAATAGACCCACTGCCTCCCCAACAAGAATGTCAAAAGAGTCGACTAATTGGGGGTTTCCTTCAAAGTTGGAGTGCATCTACCTGAAAGGTAAGATATTAACAATCTGCATACAAATAAGGCAGGTCTGTAAAATGGATATGCATGCAGCACTCAGGTTCTTGAACAAGACTAAAGTCCAGAAATTTCCGATGGAGTTTACAGCTGGTGAACGCAAAGAAGAAGAAGAATTCCAGTGTTACAAGTTGTTAATAAATTACTTGTCTGTGAGTGGTATTGAGTACCTCTTAGGAAATTAGAATCTTCTTATGCAATAAATCCCTGTCATTGGAGGTTAGAAAAAGAACTCTTAAATCCTACATAGAACCAGTTTTAACATATAGCCAAGAATCCTGGACACTTAAACATGCTTTTTGTAATACCATGGAAGGGTTATTATCAGTACCCAAACTGGTACATGCTGTTTGAGATCACAAGTTGTGGAAAAGGCATGATCACCCAAGCCACTTGGCAAAATACTTGATGACAGGTGATGATTTAGTTGCAAAGTGAGCTCTTCTAGACTTTAAAAAAAAAATCTATTTTTAAATGAAACAGTTTGATTTGTAGTAAGCCTGCAAGTAGTGAATTTTCTATGTGGACTGGACTGATGGTGATTTCTTTGCAATTTTTATATTTTTCTTGTCTTCTACAATTTTTGATATTTAAATTGATACAGTTTTGTTTTATTTGTAGCAAGCCCACAAGGACTGGATTTTCGATATGGAATGGATTGATGATGAGCATATAGTAACAGGTATAGAACCTAATAAGTGTCTTGTCTTATATTATGTTTCATTATCTTCTTTACTGCATTTTTGATAGAAGCAGGTGGTGGACAGAGCTAGAGTAGCCAAGAGATAGTTGTTGGTCATGGTTTCAAGTTCTCCCATAATAAGCTGAGGATCACACTATAGTGACACTGGCTACGGGTACCTGACCAGTATGGTCATTACGAAGAAGGGAAGCAATGGCAAACCAAGACGTCAAGAAAAGTCATGATTTCAAAGTGTAGACAGTATGTGCTTTTCAGATATGTTATGAGAAGGAGAAAACAAGGTAACTACTGGCAAGATTAAAAGAGCAAGGGGAGGCAGAGAGATAAAAGCCTGGGCAAGACAGTAACACTGACCTGATCAGTGTTTCTGGTGATCACATAAAATGGTGAAACATTACAGCCTACGCTTATCGACATGGTATATGACGATCCTATTTTTAGCAGATGAAACAGTGCAAACTCAACATATTACCAATTTTATGGTGTAAAGCAATTTATGTCACGGTCTGTCTGAAAGAAACCGTCTCTTGCCAGCTCTCTCACCTCTTGCAATTTCCTACCCAAGAAGTCACTCAAATCCTGGGCCCATCTTTGTGTGCTGGTCAGCCCCTGCCACTGCTTCCTGACACCATACCTTCTGCTATTATTTTTTCCAGTCCATTGTGACACTAAATATGGTCACAATATTTTAGCTTCCACCTCACCCCACAGTGTTGCTAAATGTGGCACTGCAGCTACCCTCCATCATGGGGATGGCACACATTGAAAAATTAAGGTTTAAGGCAGTGGTTGGCAGTTAGTTAACGTAGAATTATAAAAAAATTTTGGCCAGATACAATCTCAAACTACTTCAAGCCACAAACCAAGAAACTTTAGACAGTATGATTACCAAGAGAAGATGGAAATGGCTTGGCCACGTTATGAGAATGACTTCTGATATACCTGCCAATACAGCTCTCACATGGACACTAGAGGGAAAGAAAAAACAGGGGCTCCCAAAAACAACATGGAGACGAACGATAGAAAGTGACCTGAGTGCGGCATCTTTGACATGGAAAACTGCACTGAAGATTGCACAGGACAGGAAAGCATGGAAAGTCCTCTCTGAAGCCTCATGTGCCACTAGGCATAACGAGAACTGATGGCAGTTAGCTAAGACCTTCGGACTCCTTTTATTCCCGAAGGTCTACTGTGATGGCTGACAATGATGCACTTCCATACTGAAGAATTCCCCATGTGGGTTCCAGTGACCCCCATTTGGGGGGGGGTGCGGGGAGGCATTGCCGGCCTCACAAGCATGTCATAGAAGTTTACTAATTAGGGGTGTATCCTTCGAAGTCAAGAGTCAGAGTGTATCTACCTGAGATGTAAAGAACCAACAATCTGGATACAAATAATTTGTATGTGTAAAGTGAATGTGCATGCAAAACTCGAGTTCTGGTACAAGACCAAAGTCCAGAAGTGGATGAACGACTAGAACTTTTCCACTGTAGTTTACAGCCATGAACAAGAAGAAGAAGAAGATACTGAAGTACTAATTATATTTACTATAATTTATAAATTTGTAACAGCAAATAGCAGACCAAAATTACGAATGTAGAAAAGATGTACATAATGTTTTTGTGGATTTTAAAAAGGCGTATGATAGTGTGCGTAGAATCAGTTTATGGAATACTATGAAGGACTTTGGAATACCAACAAAGTTAATTAACATGACCAAACTATGTATGGAAGACATTCAAAATATAGTAATATATAAAGACAGAAATTCAGGCCCTTTTCAAATAACATTGGTTTAAAGCAAGGTGATGCTCTATACCCACTTCTTTTCAACTTGGCCCTGAGAATATTATAAAGAAATTGAAACAAGAGTGTACTATAGAAGAAACTTCAAGAATACTTGGATATGCTGATGACATTGATATCATTGGAGAAAATGAGCTAGAGACTGTTAAAATACTGACTGTCTTAGAAGAATCAGCTCAGAAAATGGGACTAGCTATCAATCAAGTTAAGACAGAATACATTATAATAACTAGACCGGCAAAGGTTATAAACTCCGGCCACATACAAGTCGATAATATGAAAATCAAATGAACGGAAACATGTAAGTACTTGGGTGCAAACTTCAACTGCTCCAACATGCTGAGAGAAGAACTACAATCTAGAAAACAATCTGGAAATAAAGTATAATAATCTCAACATCTGCTAAAGTCAGTGACTGTCTCGCAACACCAAGATCAAAATATATAAAACGTTGATTAGACCAGTCATGTTATATGGCTCTTAAACTTGGAGCACAACTAAAAGGACTAGTCCTTATTTCAGGTTTTCAAAAACAGAGTCTTACAACAAATCTTTGGACCCATCAAAGATGCAAACAGCTGTGAATGGAGAGGGAGAAGCAGAAACGGAATTCATAATCTGTTTAAATCACCACTGATCACTGGCATCATGAGAGCTAATAGACTTAAATGGTTGGGACATATGGACAAAATGTAAGATGACAGAGAAGTAAAAACTATATACACCTGGTACATGAATGGTCGTAGACCACGAGGCAGACCAAGAAGACGATGGAGAGATAATATCCAGACAGACCTGCAAACACTTGATATCACAACTGGAATGAGAGGGCCAACCAGAGAGATGAATAGAGGCGGGTGATATCTGCAGCAATGAACTTCAAGCGTTCGGAATTCTGAAGAAGAAGAAGAAGATAATTTATAAATATTAGAACTGCACACAAAAAATGCATGGCAATCTAAAACTAAGGTTTTTTTTTGTTTGTTTTCTTTTGTAAATGATATCGCAGACCTTTTGAATTTATTCCATAGACCACCAAATAGGAAGGACTAGTTTAAGGGATGCGAGTCTTCCCAGATTGTATTATTAATTAGTTCCTTTAACATGACACAATTTTTTTATCGATTTATCCTGATTTTACACCGTTTGCGTTCCACATGACCTCGAGTTTTAAGATTAAATACTAAATGTTTTCTTTGTTGTTGTTGAAAGGATCTAGGGATAGTTCGATTGCCTTGTGGCGTGTAGACTGCCAGGGACTGTCTACTAAAGTTCAAGGGAAACCACACCCTTTGGGCCACAGATTAATAAAGCCTTGCATAACCAAACAGTGCAAAGAAGCATATAGAGTTCGTGCTCTTGCCCTTGGCCGAAACAAAGAGGTTAGTTAAATCGTAGCTAGTAAATTCAATTGTTGATCAATTAGTAGGTCTTTGTGTGTGTCTACTTTCAAGTAGTTTTATTTAGCAGTTCTGCTGTATTCAGCATGTCTGTTCTTGATTCTGTATTTCTGCTATAGTCAACATTTTTGTTCTTGTTTCTTGGTTTTAAGAGTAGAGGCTGTGAGGTTGCTACTATTTCTGAGATAATCATCACTTAGTCATTGCTGACTATTGTCTAACCTCACTTTAATGTCTCTATTCTTAATCCACATTTGGTGTTGGGACCTCAGCTTGTGTTCTAAGATCAGATGTGCTTCCTTGATTTTGTTGTATCAGTGTTTGTTTGGCCTTGACATTGTCTATGGGGTTTATGTGACAGCACAGTTGTATACACACCGGAACCTACCAATCAAATACCTTTCTTAAATATTTGGGTATTCTAGACAAAGCATTAAGGTCTACTGTGTTCGTAAATTGTTGCTGTGATTGTTATCCGACATATGCTTCGTTAATATACATTTCTGTAACCTATGATGCCATTTAAACGGTTTGAAATGAATTCTGTCCGTATTCCATAGTTGTGGATTTCAAGTTGTACGATAGACATGGCCAATAAGACACCTTTTTTGAGGGTGCCTAGTTGACCATGTTCTTTGTACTCTTGTATTCATGGCGAGGCGCAGACGCTGTCTGGAGGTGACAGGTTCAATTCCTGGCTCGGTAACTATAGCTTTCGATTTTTATGTTGTCTAGTATGTTCTTCTATCTATCTACTTCTTTCTATGAGTGCCGATCAATGCACTTACTGTTCATTAATTCATAAGATAAGATGTGCTAACTTGATTTTGTTGTAGCCGTGTTTGTTTAGCCTTGACATTTTCTATGGGGTATATGTGACAGCACAGTTGTTTTATGATCTGTGGGGTCAGCGCTGGAGTTACGGATTTCCCTGTGTGGGTTGCGAGGCCAAATTTTAGGGGTTAAAACAAACATAATAGACCCACTGTTCCAAAACAAGCATTTGGTAAACAATGACCTGCTGAGGACTTGCTTAAATTAAATTGGATATGTTGGGTCGAAAAGCACAGATATCACAGCCTAGCTGTAAACCAAAATATGCCAGCCACCCTTTTAAGGGTGAACGGAGAAGGGTTTATACTTTGTGCAAAGATCTTCTGTATGGATAGAGACTGAGCCATATTGGATGAAACCCAGTTCAAGGAAGTTAATACTCTTACTGTATGACATTTTCTTGATCTTCTTTGCTATCTCTCACTGCAGTGTAGCAGATAACTGCTCAGTTATGTTTAGTGATTCATTGTTTTGGTTTGAAATTAAAATGGTTTAAATAAATTAAGAGCATGAAACATGAAATATCTCAATGGTGGGGTGGAGAATATACCCACTGCTGTCCTAACAAGTATAACAGTCGGATTTTATTTTGTCTGAGAGGTGAGAAACTAACGGTCTGCATACAAATAACCCAGATCTGTAAAGAAGATGTGCAGGCAAAACTCAAGTTGACGAACAACCATCCAGTTATTTTAACCGGAGTTTACAGCCAGTGAACGCTAAGAAGAAGAAATATGAAGTCATTTTAATTTTTCTGTCAGTGAAGGATTAACTACCAGTAAGTGTGGTTGTATGGTCGATGAGTAGTTCTCTATTTCTTAGGAAATTCCAGAGAAAATAGAAAGCTGGTCTCTTTTCTCTTATGTTGCCTTGCTAGATTTGTGTACTGTTTTTTTTTTTAAGCAGCAATACAATTTTAATTGAAAACTCTTGAGTTCAGAACTCACGTCACATCACTGAGGACATTCCCATAATTGCTCTTTCCTCATATTTAGCAGCCATTGCTGAGTTCCACTTCTGATGGTACCATTGAAAACTACTATTGGTTGTCTTTAAAAAGTTTCACAGAAGTCAGTTTGTACCTGAATTTTTTTTTTTCAGCTGATGGGAGTCTTGTCTATGAATGCCATGTTTCATTTCTTCGATATTCACACATTTAAGCAAGTGAGTATTGATTTATATGTTTGTTCTTTTCTCAGTGAAGTTAAAATCTTCATGTTGAAATGCCTTAACCCTGTCGCCTCAAAGCTGAGACTTCCGGTTTATCAAGTCCAACTTTTCTATAGTGACATGTTTAAAAGATGCTTAATAAATGCTGTTGGCTGAGTTCACGCTTGGACAAACATTTAGGAGGTCAGGATATGAAAATATTCACTAAAAATATCATTTAAGGGTTTTCTCATAAGCCTCTGATAGAGGTAACAGGGTCACAGCATGTGACACCCAATACACTTTGATTTTTAGGCCCAGGGAATGTATTTCATTTAGCACTTCACTTTGTTTGTGTTTATTGAATTCTTCCTTTGTATATCTTTATATATTTTAAAACATTCTAAATATAGATAAATAAAAAAAAAAAAAAAAATTATAAACATTATAAACTAAATTTAGAACAGCTAGACAGAAAGTGAACATGTCAATAAATCAAGAAAATTTGCTGGACACACTTTGTGAAAACCCAAGAACGGTATAACTAGAATGTTTTTTTCACTGGAACTCACAGAGGCATAGAAATAAAGGCAGACCAGAAAGCATGGAAAAGGGAGCTAGTGACATTAAAAAGATAAGGAGGACATAGGGTGGGCTGCATGCAACAGCAACAGATAGAATGACTTGGCATGAGTTAAGTGAGGACCTGTGCTTCATTAGGGGATATCTCTAACATGAGCATACCTGATTTAGTATAATTCATAGCATGGAGTGGATTATTTACAAATTGTAAAGTATTGAATGCTTTACACTGGAGATGTGCAGACAGTTAGTTAGTTAGTCTTTCCTCTTGTGTCAAATGCGGCACATAGGGCAGAGGTCATGACTCTCCATGCATGGCGGTTCGTTGCAATCTGTTGTAGGTCTTGGATGTTTGAGTGGCCCATGAGCGAGCCTTCCCTGATAATAGTTCTACGTAGAGTTTTCCCTTGGTCTTCCACGAGATCTTTTCCCCTGTGGTGTCCAAATGAGGGCTTGGTAAGGAAGTCTTGATTTATCCATTCTAAGGGCGTGGCCGACATAGTTCCAGCGACGTTTTCGTATAAAATTAGACACAAACTCTTGCCTGGATTCTTGCCTTATTTGTGGAGATGTGCAGACAGTTAATTATGTGTGTGTGTGTGCATAGCAACAGAGCAACTATAGAATGACCCATTCGCTGTGAAATTGAACTGCTAAGCCCCCGATGAATTACTGCGCCATCTGGTTAGATCTTGACCTCACCTGGTCAAGTGTGCTTGTGGATGAGGGCCCTTATCTTAGCATCAGCAGCTGTTTGGCTCCATTGTCTCATGCTCAAGAGGATTATTACCCCACCATGTTCTTGCATTCACTTTGATGTTTCTATCTATTCAGCACATCCTATCATGCAAACACCTGAAGTCACCAAACTCGAAAGAGAAGGCCAATAAAAGAAATGAATGAAGAGAAGTGACATTTTCAGCAGTGAGCCCAACCATTTAGAGAGCATACATTTTTTTGCTCGTGCGGGAATAATTTTGCCATTTATCCAGTGGGCTTTCAGCATCTATAAGCCTATGGATATTACAAACATTTTTTTTTTTTAAAATTAGGGTGCCCACACATATGTGTGGGTGTTACATGTATAAATGTTAATTAATTTTATTCAATTGAGAACTTGCCACATTCTTCAATTCAGTTTAATTGTTTTCAATTAGTTTGGCGTCATCTCATGTCTGATTTTGTGTGTGCATAAATGTTACAGCTGGACAGTGAAGAATTGCACTGGAAACGAGAAAATGTCTGTGTTGCAAGCTCAGATGACATTGGCCTGTTTGCTGTTGGATCACAAGCATATGTCACATTGATTGATCATCGATCTGATTCAAAAAGCAGGAAGAGATGGATACAAGTGCCTTCTAGAAATGGAGAAAGAGGTCAGAATTACTTTACGGTTTCACTGTCATTACTTTCTGTATTTACCACTGTTTAGGGTGGTTTAGATGAAAGGGGGGGGGTCATGAGCCTGAAGATTTAGGACTGCTTGACTGGTACTTCTGCCATGATCTGTGCTGGTTCAGGATGTTTAATATTGCCCCCAGTTGAAAAACTTCTCACCTTACCGGGGTCGAACCTGGAATTCCCATATGAGAGCCCATCAATGTAACTGCTCGACCAGCTGCTCCTCTTCAGGATCATCATGTGTACTGTACCTATCCTTCCAGCATAGAGTGACAGTTAATGTGTTTGTTTGATTACTTTTTATCTGAATATCTTTTTGAGTTCTTTTTGTTTTATGAAATGATTGAGGATCTCCTGAGATACATCATTTGGGAGTGGTAACTGCATTAAAGTGTGAGAAACTGAAGTGTAGGCACTTAGACCACATAATTAAATATGGTATCTATAATTCATGAAGATGGGCATAGGATATAAGTGACTCCTTGAGTATGAGAGTACATGAGGCGGGAGAACTGGCAAGAGACTGTTTCTTTCAGGCAGACTGTGAAGAGAGTGATGTTCTGCAAAGGACCTGCTACATGATGATGATGATCTATAATTTTATCACTAGTTAAAATGCATCTGTTGTCGTGGTCCTAATGACAAAGACATTAGATTTAAAATAAGAAATAAAGGTAATATTTAGATTTAAACAGCAATTTTATTAATCTACCACCATAATGTCTTTTGAAAAGTGGCCATTTCAAGACTATTTTTTAAATTTTAGTATTATAGATTTATCATGAATCTGTTTATGTTTTATACATTTATCTTATCCATAATATGTTGTAATGGTGATGTAGTAATATGTTACTGGAATTCACATATATAAGAATAAATGGTAGTTAACTGCTCCAGTTTTATCTCCTTGTTTTTGTGAATACGTGCGTACGTGCATGCTCGTGGGGGGGGTCACTTGGGTTTGAATTTTTTGGGTTGTGACTTTTATGACTTCCACCTTGCTTTCAAGAGAGAAGATACTATCATATTCCCTTCATAGCTCTGTGTTAAGCCTGCAGTGCCAATTTTATTAACAAACACTACCCCATATTGTTTATTGGGGGGTGGGGGGCATTTGTGAGTGTTATCACAAGTCTTGGTATTTGTCCACACCTTCAGCTACAGAGACATCATCTCTGTATGGTTTCTGGTACATTTCTTTTTTTTCTCTAGACCCTCTTCTGCCTTTCAGTGCCAGGTTGTTAAGAGGCGTCTGGTGCAAGCCTTGGTGTGAGCTGTGTAGATGCTGGTATTCACAGTCCGAGATATTCCATGCCTCTATCACTTGCATGGGATAGACCTCTTTCTCCTATGTCTGATTGACAGGCCTGTCTATAGTTCCAGCTAAGTAAAAGTAAAGTAAAGGACCCTTTTCCACGCCTTTCAGGCGTATTGAGTTTTTAGGGCTAGACCTATCATTTGTAGACCAAACAGCAGGTGGTGGCTGATGTGGTCAGCATCACACCAGCTGCCTTTACTTTCTAGGACTACACCTGGTACCCACTCAAGGATGGGTCGACCTGGTAGCCAAGGTCATTTTTGAAAAAATCCGACCCTTGTTAGGAACCAATCACACAACCTTTCGATCCGCAGGTGAGCATCTAGCTGCTAGACCACGGCAGCTGCCAGTTACAGCTAAGATTTACATTTAAATAGATGTTCACTTAGTGTTTCTGTTTTACACACAGTGGGCTTTTGTCTGAATTTGTCTTTGCTTTATATATTTTTTAAGGAGTTAGATCAGTTGGCTTCAACCAAAACATGATCACAATAGGAACTGGTGATGGGCGGATGCTGTTCTATGACACAAGGAACTCACAGTTTCTGGAGACCCAAGAAGGCAACAGCTGTGAACTGAAGGTTGGAGATGGATGGCTAGTACGTTCAATATTGGTTTTTTTTTTATGTCTGCATTTATTTTAAACATATCTGCTTATTTTAGTTTATGTGAGAGAGAGAGAGTGAGAGACAGAATCTGTGTGTTTGTATGTGTATGTGTGTGAAAAAAAATCATTTCGGGAGGAAGTTGATATCTGAATTTTCAGACTTGCTAACATTTTATTATTTTTTTTTATTTTTTTCGGCTACTAATCTTTTCTATTGTTATTCTGTGAATTTTTATTGTTATTTTTTAAAAATACATGTTAGAAATAAATTGCATAAAATTTTTTTGGTAAAGTTTTTGCTGATATATTAAAAACACAGAATTAAACTTTAAAATGGAAACTTGATTTTAAAAAATGTATTTCTCAGTTGCAGTTTTACTTTGTTAAATTATGCTACATATCATGTGTCATATTCAATTTCTGTTTGTTCTGTTTTCGCAGCGAGATGATGCCAACTACAGGGAACATTTTGTGCACGGTTATTATCCAAACGCTGTTTACACTCACTGCTATGATGAATGGAAGGCAAGACTCTTCGTCGCCGGTGGCCCCTTGCCAACTGGGCTATATGGCAACTATGCTGGACTATTTTACTAAACCCTGGAATAATGTGGCTGCAGATGACCGAAAGTTTTGTTGACTTTTGATTGTGTCTTTGGGTGTTTCTTTTCACAGCTACATCATGTTGCTGAGAATATTAGGACAGTTAAATAGATTATCTTGCAGTTTTATTACTAAAGTGTTACTACAATTTTATAAGTAAACTCTTCAGAGATTTATTTTTATGTGCTTTGAGATTAAATTGTCTTTATAAGTCGGCTTTAAAAAACAAGAATTCATTTCTGTAGGTTTGCAGTTATTATCTTGGATATTTGGAAGCTCTGTTTCTGTTTCTAAAATACAGGAATTCATGTTCCTAGGTTTTCTGATATAATCGTGGATAATTGGTAGCTCTATTTCTATAAATGATATACACAAGAGTTAATTTCTGGTAACTTTCAATCTAATCTTGTTGATGAGGTAGCTCTGAAATGTGAGTTTTTTCTGTAGGATATCAACTCTAAACTTGTGTATTATGTAGCTTTAATTTTTTTTTCCTGAAATACACAAATTTGTGTTGGTTCGCTTGCATATGCTAATCATTTGCCACATGCTAGTCCTACATGTTTAAGGAAAAAACATCAACATAACTGAATGGTATTTTGTGTGAACAACAGTATTCCAGTGGTTTGTTTTTAAAAAGTTAGCAAAAATGATCTGCATGTGGCTGCTTAAGTTGAGTATGTCCTATCTGGCATGTATGTGAAAAGCCAAAGATATTTACAGCAGGACCTATTTTTTATTATTTTGTAAATTAAAGTATGTCTGTATTCTATTAAATTTTAATTGAGATTTGTGTAATTGCTTAATGTATAATTGCACAAAGTAGTTAGAATTGATTAAATAGATAATAATTTTATGTATCCATTTGACTGTATGCTGTATCTTTGTTAGACCATTTATGCCAAGTATATTATCTCAGTACTGAATAGCAGTGGGTAGCTTCTTCTTCTTCTTCTTCTTCTTCTTTGTGTTTGGCATAAGAGGGTGGTTACCTTGTTGTGTTTTACAAGGCTGTCATATCTGCATCTTTCAGCTCCATGCATCTCAGTTAGTCCAACAAAAAGGGGGCGGGGTGGAGGCAGTGGGTCTGTGTTTTCTATTTCCACCAAGCCGAATCGCCAGCAGCTGGGATAGAACCCGGCATTACAAAGCGCGCTCGCAATGCTCAAGCCACAGACGCCGATAAAATTTCACTAGTCACATGTAAAACTTTAAATTTCATAGATGGTGTTTTGTTTGTGTCTGAAACTATGATTTTCTCCCTTGTATATGTTTATTAAAGTAATTATGATTCTATGTGCTGTATGTACATTACAATAAAACTAAAAGGTATCCTGGATGTAGTTAGGCTCAGACCCTCCCACTTAGTTTACTTTGGTGACCAAATCTTGTTGTATCATTGTGGAAGAACAAGGAAAGCAAGCGAGAAGGCAATCAATTTAGAAGAATCTCTCTTTTAAGTCATGGGAAAACGTATGGTAAAATAATAGAAACGAGTCTGCGACCCGTGACAGAAAAACGGATGGGTTTCAGAAGAAATAGAAGCTGCACAGATGCAATCTTCACACTTTAACAGTTAATAGAAAAGAACATTGAATATGATCAGAACTTTTTTGTAGACTAGGAAAAAGCTTTCGACAGGGTCAAAAGACAAAAATAATGGAAAGTAAAGGCTCAATACGGAATAAGTGAACATCTCATTGAAGTTTGCAAAAGCTTATATAGCGATTGTAGAAGCATAGTTAGAATAAATCAGGGAACATTTAAACCATTCAAAGTAACATACTGAATAAGACAGTGATGTGTCTTATCACCACTCCTGTTTATCACCTACATTGACTGTATATGCAAGGATACCAGGCCCAGGAATGAAAATAATAGTAACATCAACAAATTACTCTTTGCTGATGAGCAGGCCTTGATTGCAGATCCAGCCATGAATTTGCAAAAGCATCTCACATCCATGAATGAAAAATGTAAGTAAAGTAATATGAGAATCAACATCAGAAAGACTGATGTAATGTCAATAGGAAGAAAGAAGCAGGATTTAAACATAGCATTAGAGCATACATATATTAAACAGGCATCTGAGTTTAGATATCTTGGAACAGCATTCACTGAAAATGGTCAATTGGACGAAGAATTGACATTGGATGCAGTAAAGCTGGCCAATTATTGGGACAGCTAGCTCCCCTCTTACAGCATAAGGCGATCCCAATCAGCACAAAGAGACATCTCATACAAAGCTATTCATTCCCACCCTATGCTACCAGTGCCAGAGGTGGTCACTCACAAGAAATCATTAAACCAAATTAGTAACCATGGAAATGAAGTGTTTGAGAAAAACTATATGAGTGACCAGAAGAGATAAAATTAGGAATGAGGTCATACAAGATTAAGTCGGAACAGAACCAATTCTGAATTACATAGAAAGGCAGCAAATCAAATGGTTTGCCTACTTGGAAAGAATGCCTTCTAATGCTGTACCATACAAGGCTTATAGCAAAAGAAGAGAGGGACGTAGAGCAAGAGGTAGACCAAGAACAAGTTGGGTAGATAACATCAGAGAAACTCTACAGAACCACAATGTGTCTATGGTTGAAGCAGCTAGAAGAGTACAGAGCAGGACCTTATATGTCCCTCGACACCTGAAGCGATAAAAGAGAATGTAAAGAAGAAGAAGAAGACCAAATCCTGTTAGTAAAATCTCAGAAACTAACAAAACACTAAAAACTTCTGCATATTTCCTGTAGGTGCCACACATAAACTTTCCTTTGTTGAAAAATATCAGTTTTTAAATGCTACTTGAAAATTGGGAGGTATTGAAGTGGAAACAACAAATCAGTTCTGAAACTCATCCTTATTGGCGTGGGACATATGGAGAGAGTTTGAAAAACATTATTTTATACTTTGACTTATTTTCATTATTTGTCACAAACATACTACTCTATTTGGAATGTTTTATTCTTGTCATCTTTATAGTACTTTATTCAGGTCTAGCAGTGTGATGCTTATTTCTTCAGATTTACATCAAAGCGGGGATAATAGTCACTGACCGGTATTGTCAGTTTAAACACGGCAAAAAAAGGCACCAGGAAATTTTGGTAGTCAATGTTTAGGGAGAATTCTCATCCTAGCATTCTGGACATAGGCTTAGGTGCTCCAGTCTTCTCCTCTGTAGTGGACAAGTAAAGGCAACCAGCGTGATGTTGACCACGTCAAACATTGACCACTGACTGACCTAAAAATAAGGGACAAGCACCATATACAGACAGCGATACAAGAGGCTGAGTGGTCTTGAAGCATGGCATTCCCCCTCGAGTGCTGGAGGTCCCGGGTTCAGGCCACAGCAAAGGCTGGGTTTTTATTCACATGAACTTCTAGTCATTTTCCCTAGTCTCTGTGTAGTAAGATCGGACGTCCGTGTGTATTGTTGTGCACGTAAAAAATCCTGTGTCTGTTGGAAATGAAAAGAGTAGTCTAACGGCGCTGCCCATGCAAAATTTGTAATTAAAAATCGACCCAAAGTATTTCAGGTTCCTCGCCGGTGCTATGGAGTTCATGCATTGCGCTGAGGTTCTTCAGACTCAGGCTTGAGTTAGAAGCAGAGCAGAGCACTTATGGGTTACTACCCTTGTGCCACGATATTGATCCGTTGTATAAACCATAAGCAATACAAGTGGGAGGATAACATCTAGAAAAGGACAGACAGCAGTCTGAGAGAGTATATATATCCAGGGTGAAAGACAGAACTTGCAGCCAGCCTTCAGTGTGGAGATGGCACCTGCTTTATTGATGCAAGTACCCCATGAAGTTATGGCGTAAAACGGAATTCTTTATTCTCCTTTAAGAATGTTTTAAAGTATATGCAGCTAGAAACATCTATTTGGTGTTCATTAAGGTTTTCTCGGATTGCACCTTAATTTCCAGTTTTTTTCCTTTCTCAGTGATTATTAGTGCCATAAGTATTTTTAAATATCAGCCTTATTTCCTACACTGCTTTCTGCCTTTATGGGCCAGATCTTTTCCATGTTTAATGTTCTTGTTATGTCAATATTCCTGTATGTAGAATATTTGTGCTTATTTGTCAGTGGAATAAAACTGCGCATGACAGTGACATGAAGTTTTGATTGTGATTGTAAGGAAAGTTACTCATATATTTTAGCCCTAAAGAGTTCTTAGCTCACACCTGTGATTGTATAATGTGAACAGTTGTAAGTTAAAAATGCTTTCTTATGAATGTTTTTCAGCTACTTATGACTGTTCATGCAGGTTTAGACATTTTTTTCCACATATGGAAATGCTAATCCGACTATTTCTAGTAAATTTTACATTCAGTTTCCAGATTTAAAAGTGTTGTGGCTGTTGGAATAAACAAACTGTTGAATCACGCTGACTAAAAAAATATTTGTTTTCTTTAACATGTAGCAGATGGAAGATTCTAGGATAAAAAGTGAAGAATCTGACATGTGGGTTTGTTTCAGCTTGTAGGATAATTTAATTATGTTGTTAAGACTTAAAATTAGTTTATTTACAGCTGTCTTAGCATCATTTGGATGTTAGTATTTCTACTGGTGAAAGATTTATGATGTGTACACAGTAAATTTCTTTCTCTTTAGCTTTATTCCTTTAACTGAGAGAGACTTTGATGTCTGAGTAATGTGAAGTTATTGTGTAGTTACTGACAGGTCTTGGTTATATTCCCAACATGATTCATGTTTATCTTAACGTCCTTGTTAGGATGTTTAAAAGTGTTCTTTGGTAAAATATATTTGTTACTGTTATTTATCAGCTGGACTGTTGTTGACGAATGTTTTTTCCCTAAACAGCCAAGTAGATTTCACGCATTTATCCAGATCTTTGGTTTTGGATGTTTACAGTTTTTGATACAGAGCAAGTTATTACACTTTAAACATATTTTGTTTTTGTGTGTGTTAGATTTGTTTAACCATAATTGTGTTTAAAAGTCAGTTTTTTGGAAAAAACACATCATA